AGGATAATAGCGAGGAATTTCAAATTCCTGCAGGGAGCTATATAGGATTCGTTTAGAATTCCTACCGATTTTATTTCTGTGTCTTATGGAATCCCGTGGTATTTTTCATTTTTTTGTCAGGGAACAATATTATTATTACTTCGATGATTATTACACTAATGTGAGTTTGTTTCTTTTATTTTATTTCGTACTTCAAATCTTAAAAAAAGAAAAAAAATCTGCGTCGCTGTAAACTCACACACACATGGGCCGAATACGATGTCTTAGCTCTTACATATGCACAGCACCTTGCAAAAAAATACAACACGAATCCGAGGAATATCATTATTATTTGCTTCGACCTTTTTTTTTAATATGGCGGTGCTGATCACACTCCTCTCGAACAACGTAAAGATTAAAAAAACCACGTGTGATAAAACAAAAGTTAAGATAAATAAAAAAATAAAAATATATAAATATATTATGGCTGGATTGATATCATTTTGTAACCGGTAAAGTCAAAGACTTTTAATGTCCTGTCACTTTTGGACTGCACTTAATGCCCTCTTTAATGCTTAGATACACGTAATGTACAGGTTTATTTTGGATTAGTGTTTCTAAGCTGCATATCCTGATGCGTAATAAAACGGACTGTGAAGTAAGTGTCAACTGTGTTAATTTGCAACAAACATACAAAAAAAATCGTCATCATTTTTAGATGTTCCTATTTGTAAAATATGCACAGTATTGTAGTAGCTCTCTCTCTCGTGATGCATGCTGGTCTCAACCTGCCCTCTTTTCGTTAGTAACGCTCTCAGATTGAGACCTTTAGCCGTGTCTGTTGTATGCTTAAATAATAAAAAAAACACAAAAAAAACACAGATGTCAGAAAACTTGTAATATTTTTGTTTTGTGCATTTATGTTGTCGGGCTGCTTAAATGCTGTTTTACTTTGTGGTAGACTGAAATTATTGCCCCCCCTCCCCCCGTCAAAATCCATGCTGTGTTCTCAATACGTTTCATTGCAAGTTGACATTAAATGCGTTTCAAAGGAGCCGTGTTTACTTTCTTGTGGCTCAAATGGGGAGGGATGGAGGGGAGTGGTACCAGTTGCTTCATTCCAGACTTCTTCCCCCCTCTATCTTCTGCTTCTCTGTTATTCAGTGCAGAGCAGCAGCAGCAGCAGCATCAAGAAGCAAGAACGTGTCTCTCGATGTATGTATCTGTGTGCCCTATGCGGGGAGCGGTGATGTTGCAGTTCGCCCGCTGCGTTACGAACCCGGCGACCCGAGTACAATTACCACTCATGGCCAACCCCGGTGACAACTATTTCAACCGGTACCTGGGCCTCGACTAGGTCGACTCAGCTGCAAATAAGTAACTGGTTCAGTGTGTAAACATAAGCATTTGTTAGACAAAGTCGGTAGGCCGTGGTGCTGGCCACCCACCCCCTCGTGTAACGTGCAGGCCTTCATAGGTGCTCACTAACAGCACTTTCCCCAACAGTCGAAGGCTATAGGGGGGATCTTTGTCTGTCCGAGGTATGGTACTCGATGGCCATATGCATGCTCCAATGTATGTATGAGTGTTAAAGGCTACACGAGGGGGATTTCTGAGCATATGTTACACTGCACGTGTATATACAAAGTTCAGTGCTGACCCGTTAGGCAAAAGGTCTAAATATTTACTCCCGTTGAGTACGTGGTTTTACAATTTAACTGCTCAATTAAGCTCACTTATTACATTATATGAGTATTGGGTGCATTCACATGCTATACCAGAAACTTGCAACAGGCTAATGTTTACTTTGTAGGCTTTGGTTTCACGCTTCGCAAGAGACACGTTAGTTGGTTCGCTGTTGATGGTGGTCGTCTGTTTATAAGTATTGAACACGAGCCGCCAAGCGCTGTGATGTAAAACTTTCAGGCTGACCCCTCTCCTATAAGTGAAACCAATCAGCCACCGGGCTGGAATTATTTAACAGCCCACATTTTAAACGAAAATGGTTTTCGAATTGGTCTTTTTGTAAGCTTTGACTTGACCGAAATGTGTGCCAAATTTTCAGCTTCCTAGCCCTTCGATAAGATCGGTAGAATGTCCATCTGCTGTCCACCCCACCTGCTCATCTCGGCCAAAGTTGTATTTTAAATTACAAAACAAAACACCGTACAAAGAAAAATAACACGTCATAAAGTTACATTATTGTAAACGTCAAGGTCTGTGTGTGTGTGAGTGCAGTGCATGCCTCAGTAAAGTTTGTGTAAACGTACGTGTGGTGGTCGTCTGCAACAGCCATGCTGATGACCACTGGGTAAGGCGATGCACTTATATTTAGTATTTGTTTGTGCGGGTAGGAGGGTTCACAAGTATGTCTGCATTCAATCGCACGTCTTATATGAACACAAATCAGCTCTCTCCAGCCAAAATACACACGTAAATAAAAAAAAACGTGGAGACAAAAGTTGGAAATTCATGTTTTCAGGTTGTCTTGAGATGCGGTTGCATTTCGACCCGATATAAATTAAAATAAAAGCCGTAACATTTCCAAGTCAGATCATTATGCAAAGCAAAACAAATCGACCAGCATATCCCGTAAATCAACACGTTCTAATATCTTTGAAAACACCAAGGAGGCGGTACTGCGACTATTAATTACCGGTGCCTGAACTTAACCTTGTGTTCAAACCTCGTGTCGTGTCTTTTTGTTGAGAATAATTTCCGTCAAAACAAGTGCCAAAGAACAAAGAAGGGTCCCGACGGTGGGCAACTGTGGGTGTCGCTTGCAATGATTCAACTGGAATGCCCCGCGCGCGAACGCACTCAAGAAGAGAAAGAGTCCCCAATTCAAAACGTGGAGTGATACATATTTAAATTCACCTTAAGCCAATGCTTCCAGACATTTAGTTCCATCATCATCATCGTCGTCGTCCTACTTACCGGTGGATAACTTGAGCCATTTAAATGCTGTTGAGAGTTTCGCAAAACAAACACCAATTAGACTAATTCATTCCGTGTGTGATTAAACGGGTCGAGCAAAGCGAGGGCGCGATATTCATCGTTTCAACAACCGCGGCGATTTCGATTTAAAGCTTTCGTGACTGCAAGGATTCATCTTCTTTGGTTATTTCGGTAAAGTCACGTAGAATGAGAATAAAATAATAAATTGATAAAATAAAATAACACAATAATATTCTCACGACGTTTCGGCCACAACACAAGCGGTCGTGAGAATATTATTGTGTTATTTTATTTTATCAATTTATTATTTTATTATCATTCTACGTGACTTTACCGAAAGAACCAAAGAAGATGAACCGCGGCGATGTTCCAGGTTCGCACGCCCAACGACAACCAGTTTCGAAGAAACGATCACTCCGAATATGTTTGTTAAACTTATAATTACCACAGCAATAGTAAGACTAAAGGGCGTACACATCGCTTAAGAGAACATCAGCTGAGTGGTTGCGTAGTGATCGGTTTCGCGCACAGCACCTCGAACCTTGCCACCTGAATTCGATTCCCCGCCCACGGCGGACATCATCGGTGAGTGATATCTGAACCGACACTGGGTCCCTCCTTTCCCCACCTTCCTCTTCAGCATACACCTCACGCAAACCAGCAGCATGGTGAAGTATGGTCAAACGATAGACCCCCCCCCCCCTTTCGCACCACCGCACGGCCAACGCAGCACTGTGTGGGCGAAGTCGGCCTTCATCGAGCAGTGGATTGATCTCGGGTCTTTAAATTGCGACTTGACACTAGTATCGTGTAAAAAAGACTCGGCCTGTCGGTGGAGAATGCTTCGAGCGATGCAGTAGTAGTGGCGATTGTGCTAGGACCTTGTGCGCATTTAACGAAAATTTATGTGATTGACGCTCGCTGCGTTTATTCCGACGGCTGCGCGGTTGGTTTTGTTACGCTCAACTTTTCTCGCTGAGCGTTCAATGGAATGAGAGAGGGGATCGACGCGGGGGGGGGGGGGGGACAACAATAAATTAAAGGCGTGCAGGGCGTGATCATTCATATAAATATATAGCGTGGTTGTTTATAAAAACGATGTATGTAAACAAGCTGCGGGTGAGATTCATGCGTAAATCACGGGCAGGCCGCAAGAACGAGCGCGTAAAACAAAATCGTAGGAGCAATGCTCTCAACCCCGCCCGATTGACGATACATTTAATGGATTATTTTTTTTAACCATTAAGATAAGAAACTTTGGATTAGAATAATGTCGCTACTGGTGGGGATTTTTTTTTTATGATTGGCTGGTGTGGAGGGGAGGCGGTAGTTTTACGACTTGTTCTTAGTTCAGTTTGAAATGTAATTTTAACAAACAATAATACTTTTGAAGAACAAAAATTTAAACGAGTGTGCGTTATTTGGCGAACGCTAAAATGTACACGGTCGTAAATATTTCCACCGAGTCCTCTTTGCCCGATCGCCGGATATCACGAAGGAAGAAACATCCAAGTGAAATTTCCGGGCAGATCGTACTTCCTTCAATTACAAACACAAGAATGTTTCGCGATGTAATATTAAGATGGGCCATTGCCCGAAACGTCGTATGATCGTGCGTGTGTGTGTTTATTTTATCTCTTTTTTGTGGGGGGTGGTGGCAGTGTTATCGGCGAATGCGGCTGACTTTTTGTTAAAGCCCCAAGCCTCGTTCCTCGTAAACCCGACTCCTCACTCTCGACGTCGTTGACATTTTTTTCAAGGAAGAGGAGGAAAAGTTCGGGGGTTAGGATTGTTGGGATGGGGGTGAGTGAGAGGCGGTGGGTGGGGGTGCGTGGAAGAAGGGAGCAATTGTGGGGGGCTGCATGGGGGGCTGCGGGGGGTTGAGTGAGTGGGTGGATGGGTGGGTGGGTGGTGTGCCTCGACAAGGCCCCTTTTGTTTATTTGAGCGACTATTTATGGTGGCAAAACACAAACAATGGCAGTCGTAAATATATTTTATGGCTTCGGTCCGTGGGTGTCGGCACAGAAACTGGGGTGCATGCAGAGGTGAGGAGTAGGGGGAGGGGATCCTCTGGGTGGGGCGGAGGGGGGGTGGCGCGCAGGAATTGGCCACGCGTTTTGACCGGAGACGTTCAACAGTTGAAACCCGTTCCCTTTCCTTTCTCGTAAGCAATCTATTCCTCCACGTATATTTATAACAATCATCATCATCAACAACAACTCAAGCAAACACGTGTTCGAAGTGGGGTTTTTTTTGTCCTTTACAAAATTATCCCGCGCTGGGAAACACCCTTCGTTTTTAACCGTGAGTTATGCGCAGACGATGCAGGTAAGTATGCATTCATATAATTGTGAACACGTTTTTTTGTTTGGTAAATGAGAGCGGAAGAAAATGTAATTGTTATACGTTTGACAAAGTGCAGTATCCGACTGTATTTTTTTGTAATTGCCGTGTTAATTGTAATTGTTTTTTTTTATTTGCGTGGCACGCATGTGCCCGTGCAGTCATCGCATGTTGTGACGGGCACGCGTCTTGTGTCCCGAGCGCGTGTTACGCTCACGCGTGACGCGTGCAAGTTACGCAGTTTGCGATTTCGCGTTAATTTGCGCGTCTCTTCTGGAGACAAATCGCGACTTACAATCCGGCGTCTAGGCGTCGTAAAACCCGTTCCTTCTTCGCGTTCAATGTGCACAGGGGCCGCAGTGGCTTGCAAGTTGATAATATCAGTAGACTGTTTCCCATGTAGTATACTGCAGTGACAAACTAACATTAACGCGCTCGCTATGTTGCTTAAAAATAACGGGTATATAATAGTCGGTGTTTATATACATCGCAGGAACGGTAGGAATATTTGAATTAATATTCTATCAAATGAATTCTAATCGTTCCTTACTTGATTATGCGGGTGTGTGTATGGATGTATTAAGCGTGGTATATATGTGTGTACGTACGCCGGTAAATGTGTACACGTGTGTGTGTGCGCGCGTGCGGGCGTGCTTGCACGTATCTATATGTGTATGTGTTTATGTATGTGCGTGTGTATGTTTGTATATACAGTTTTTGTGTGCACATCTGTGTATACAGTACACGTGTATGTGTTAACTGTATTAACGTGAGTATAAATAGCCCCAGTGAAAACCTACCACGGTTACCAGACCGCAGAGAAACAGGCGGGACAGACGCTAATATCGACACACACCACAAAGTTAAACCGAAAAGTAGAGAGAGTGAGACGTTACATAAATTCACAGCAGCTTCATATTAATCTTAGCAAATATATTTCCACAGCAGAATACCGTGTGAACAGACAATTACGTGACTCGATGTTATTATTATTATGGAACGTTCTTGAATTGTTTCGACGGCAGTGGATTGAAACCCTTTGCGAATCGGATCTGATAATACCGTAGAGACGCAATGAATAATCATTCTCTTTCATCATCGCACACCAAGTGAAGACGAGACCTCCCCCACCTCTAATGTACCGTTAATATATGCTATTCAAGAGAATCTGCTATAAAATAATGCGTCTCTAATCCCATTCGGCAGAACGCGTAAGAGAAGTGCGCGCGAGCCGCCTGTAAGCGATTAAATGGATATTCGATATGATTGCGCTGGATAAAAGGCTGCAAATTGCATATAATTACACGCCGCACTTATCTGCGCATTGCGATGTGCGCGTGTGCGTGTTTGCGTGCGCGTGTGTGTGTATGTGTGTGCGTGTGTGCGTGTGCGCGCGTGTGTGTGTATATGTGTGTGCGTGTATATGTGTGAGTGTGTTGTAACCCTACACGTGGCGCGTAAATCGCAGCACCCGTTCGTTCATCACCGCCATCGGCGTCAGCCATGCTCAATCCACTGCTGACTGAAGAAGGGTCCTCGCGAAGCCGCCCTCCGACGATGCAGCAATCCACGTGGCAATCCTCCTGAATGACACGAGCTGATTCCATCGCTCCATCTCATACGCATGTACGTACATATATACCATTAACATATAACTGCCTCTCACACGCGCCCCGCTCCTACCTTGGCAGTCACTCCGTCATTAGTCTCGACCCTGCGGTTCCATCGACCGAGGCAGAACCCGCGTCGCTCAGTGGCGCTTTGCTCGCGTTTAAGAGGTGCATGCTCTGCGAACTAACATGCGATAACATTGCATACATACGCGAGTGTGCGCATTTGTCAGTGTGTGATATTCGCTGCGTGCATATAATAACGCAGGCGCCGCTAGCGAGATTGTTAACGTCGCAGGATCTCGGGAGATGGCTACAGGCTTGGAGGCATTACCATCCAGCAGTGGATTGACCACGTCTGCTGAGACTACTGATGATGACGATGACGCAATGCTAGCCCGTTCCTGTCCGTTCTCCTGTCCGTCTTAAATGGTGTTATTTTCTCAAACGCAATAGCCCAACTCGCTCTGTGTGCGTGTATGTGTGTGTGTGTGTGCGTGTATGTGTGCTGGTGTTGTGTCTCCTCTCGCTCTCTCTTACCGTGATTGATAAGGCCCAAGGGGGAATGCAAAAAAAAGAAGGGGTAAAAAAAATGAGCGCATCTCATTGAGTTGGAATAACAAATGAGGGTGGCGGCTGTCCGGGACGCGCCCGATGCCTCCTCTCGTTTTCTCTGTTGCATTTTCAAAACTCGAGGAATTGCATCCCACGTGCGTTGCTGGCGTGCGATGAAGGTTGATCAACCACCCACCCCCCCACTCACCTACTCGCCCCCCCCCACCACCACCATCACCAACAAACAAGAAAACTCAACCACCCATATTGCTGCCTTCAACACACATCGACCCGTTTACAGGCGACATTTACGGTGGCAAGCCACATCATAACGTGCATCGTAACGCCACGCTGCTCATGCGTATGCATTCATACAGAAGACGCCGATTGCATAGAGCGCGTAAGTACACGCGTGCGTATATACACACACACCGCACAGCAGCAACACACAGCGAGCCGAGAGGAACCATTCACATCTCACCGCCCCGCTGATAAGGTATTTATTTGTCAATGCGCTCGTACCGCGTTTATGATACAGCGTGGAATAATTAAGCGGAGTGTATGTGCAGTCATTTAATCCCGACATGTACGTGCGTACGTATTGCACACGCACGCACACACACACACGAGCGCGCGCGTATCGACACACGCAGACACACGCGGAAACGCATCCGTGGCCACGCCACAAGCACACAGCAGTCACGCCTTGCCGTAAAATCCCGGCGTCGGAGTACGGCGCCGCAGCAGCCACGCGCCGCGGGTCCGCGCGGGCTAAACAAGTCGCTCTCCTCGCCAATGTGTGTGGGTGCACGCCGTCTCGTGTGCGTGCGGTCACGATGTGTGTGCGTAGGCGCGTTGCGGAGGTAGCCACTCTCTCTGCATTGGTGGGGGACCTGCAGTCGTTGTACGGATTAGTAATAACGATGACAATGACTTCGTGTGTCTTATGTGCCAGCCGGATGGGTCGTTTACAATCGTACGAAATCACCGTTGTAAACGGGGGCTTCATTCAGCAGTAGATTGACCACGGCTGATAATGATGACGATGATTTATAATGGACGATCATCGCACACGTAAGGATCCATGAACTGCTGATCCACCAAAAGGAGGCACTGAATGAGAGTCGCTTTTGATAAGCGAAAGCGCGCGTGGATTCCGAGAGAGGAGGGCGCGCGCAGCACTGCCAGCAGCTCACGCAATCGAAGGCTAAAAATACTGCCGCCGATGCCACTGCTGCATGAGCGAAGAAGAAGAGAGAGAGAGAGAGAGCGAGATAGCAATTCCCGCTGCCACGCTCTCTCTCTCTCTGCCAGTGAATATGAGTTGCGTTCGAAATGCCAGCGCGTCCTCGTGACGTGTACGCGTTGCCAAAGGACACTCTCAGTTGTTTACGCACGCGGTTCACGCAGTACTTGCCCCGTACGTAACGTGTACACACACACACACACGCGTGTGTGCGTGTGGGAGCGGTGGCGCCGTGGTGAGCGCGGCAGCGTTGCGAACCCGTCGAGCCGAGTTCGATTCCCGCTCACAGCCAACATCTGAACCGGTCCTGGGGCCTCCCATATGTCGACCGAGCCTCAAATGAGTAGCTGCTGCAGTGTGTAAACCATCGCCACAGGGAGACAACGGCGGAAAGGTGTGGTGTTGGCCACCCACCCCCCTAAGTGCTCGCAAACAGCACTCGACTTGCCCCAACAGTCTGATAAAGGCGTTGTCTTTGTGTGTGAATTTGGAAAAAGAAAGTGGGGAGCGGTGGCGCATTGGTTGGCTCCACCGCTCTCTGGACTTGTCGAGTGGCGTTAGAAATTGCCGTGGGACTCTCGACTTAGCCGATGCGGTCTTGCATGAGAACTGTGCCTGGTGAAGAAATACAAAAAAAAATCTGAATTGGGGTAGACGAGGCGGCCGAGCGTGGTGCTGGTCACATCAGCCCTTCTTTCATTTCGCCAGTCTCAATAGGTGCTCGCTAATACCACTTACCCCAACAGTCTTTATGGCTATGTGAGGATATATTTGTGTCCGTGATTAAACGTCTATTTTCGTATTTTCTTTCTCGTGTATATTTGGAAACCCAACAAGCCTTCTAATATTGCTGTTCATAATGAACACAACACACATGCCGACACATATCGCACGTGTGTCTTTAGTCGCAAGTCTACAGCATGATCCGTTTGCGTTGGTGCACAAACATGATAAAGACAAAGATCCCCGGTATAGACTGTTGGGGCAAGTGCTGTTAGCCCGCACCTAAATGTGCCGTAAACAAACATGACACACACACACACACCGCCGTCACATGTCCACACGCGTGTATCCACACGCGTATGGTGAGGATGAGCAGTATGAGATCTGTGTAATTTTGCGTGCGCGTGTGCTGCGTCGTACAAGCGCCATTCGCATGCCCGCGACACGCGAGTCTGTGTCATAAGTGTATGAGGCTTTGTCATTTGTCTGCGTTTCATACTGCGCACAGGCACCCTTCACACATCCGTGCACGGGATATCTTCGGCGAGGACGACGTGCACGCGCGTATGTACGCACGTGCACGCGCGTATGTACGCACGTCTGTGTTCGAGCCGTGCACGGAGCGTGCGAGCCGCGCTCAAGGCGCGGCTCGCACGCGATGCCCTTTTGCGCATGATATGAACCGCCAACCCCTCTCCATTTGCGTTGGAATAGCGGCGCGCCTGCCTTACGTCACGACGTCACTCACCCCACACCCCCCACCCCGAGGGCAGGACACGTGAAAGGGAGACATCGCCTTAAAGAGGGGGGGGGGGCCGCGAGGTATCGCTCTCCCAAGGAAACAAACGTGTTTAACACCCGCAAGGTGAACAAATACGCGTTCCTAGAAGCCCCGCCACGTCCTCGACGGGCGCTCCCGTTTCGCGTCTTTCTCTCGCTCCGCTCCTCATAGTTACCCGGCATTTCTAATTAATGGCGAGGCGGGCCGAGTTTCAAGCTCGCGCCCCATTGAAGAGCGGCCGGTTTAAGATGTCCCCAATGGCAATTAAAAATATATATCCTCTCTCCCGTCTCCCCCTCGCTCGCCGAGGGCACGACTCAAGTATCGCGCCGTATCCTATGTACGCCGCGCGCTGCTTCTTCACCGGCTGGAGTCGTGTTAAGGGGGCTTGTGTTGAGATGGCTGGATGGCTCGTGGTGGTGATGGTGATGTTGGGAGGGTGCAGGACGGACAGGCGAGGATGGTGAAGTTGCAATCGAAGAGGGTGAGGGGGGGACGATGTTGGTGGAGGCGATGGTGTGCGAACGCGGTTGCGTCGTTGTTGCGCGAGAGACGCGTCCGCTTGTCGATCCCGAACGATGCATTCATCTCGTACGTGCAGTACTGCGTACCTATGTGCAGTTACAGCCCGAAATTATCAATGCACTGATGGACGAAGGCCTCTCCGCGTCGTATTGGCCAGGGTGGTTGGGTGACCACACTTTACCACGCTGGTCAGTGCGGGTTGTTGAAGCGGGAGGGGGCTGGGATGACGAAAGTCGCCGGGAAAGTGACTCAGACAAGTTCAAAGCGCAGTGTGCTATCCACGCTGCTACCCGCCCTACGCGTAGTCCTATAAAGATGTTTTTGTAAATGCAGCATTAAGAAATTGATGCAATAATTTGGCCTGTCTGGAACGCAACGTGCATGTACGCATGAATATAATTGACACGCTGCGTAAAGTCGGGCCAAATTTAGATGAAAATCGGAAGACTTAAGAAATGTAGAAGTTTTTTGTTTGTTTGTGACGATTAAAAATTGGACACAAAATAAACAAAACACTCGAAATGTTTCGTCTCAGATTATTCACTTTTTTGTGCGTGTAGCAATATTGAATACATTGTAGTTTCGTGACGAAATCAAATACAACAAAAGACGAAGATCCCCCATATAGCTTTCACAGACTGTTGGGACAAGTACTATTAGCGAGCATCTATGAAGGCCGGAACGGCGCACTAGGGGGTGGGCGGCAAGCGCCACGCCCGACCGCCTTTGTCTCCCTAGTGGCAATGTTTTTTTATCCACCGCACCAGGTACTCATTTGAGGCTGAGTCGACCTAGGGGAGGCCCAGGACCGGTTCAGATAATTGTCACCAGTGTTGGCCGTGAGCGGGAATCGAACTCGGGTAGCGCTAACCACTACCCTACCGCTCCCCGCATACAAAGACAAAGACAAAGACAAAAGATCCCCCGTATAGCCTTAACAGACTGTAGTGGCAAGTGCTGTTAGCGAGCACCTATGAAGGCCGGAACGGTACACGAGGGGGTGAGTGGCCAGCACCACGCCCGACCGCCTTTGTCTCCCTAGTGGCAATGTTTTTTATCCACCGCACCAGGTACTCATTTGAGGCTGAGTCGAACTAGGGGAGGCCCAGGACCGGTTCAGATAATCGTCACTGGTGTTGGCCGTGAGCGGGAATCGAACCCGGGTCGCCAGGTTCATAGCGCAGCGCGCTAACCGCTACACTACCGCTCCCCACCATAGCGCAGCGCGCTAACCGCTACACTACCGCTCCCCACCACACACACACAGACACACACACCGCATTATTTACATGCGATGTTGAATCGGCAATGGTAATGGTTCTGAACGGACACTGGGGCCCAGATGAGATTCCACGTGGCACCTTTCTGTGAGCCGCGATTTTTAATAAATAAATAAATAAATCCGTCGTGACTTTCATGACGCGGTGCAATTGGTCAGATCATTGTAGCAGAAGAGGGAGAGAGAGAGAGAAACACAGCCACTGCACACGAGTCAGGGAGTTAATACGAATTACGCACTGTACTGCCCTATTTAACCCTGTGTGTCGATGCCTATGTGGCTTTACAAACGTCACGCAATTGAAACGTATTTTTTTTATTGAGATCAACGTTGAGAAAATGAACCCCCTTTCTCTCCCCTCATGCTAAACGCAACACCATTGGCGTGTAACAGCCCTTATTGAAAGATATTGGTTCATGCTGTGTGCTGTGAACCAGCATGGTTCAAAGTGCATATAAGCAGAGCCCCGTTCTGTCTTTTTACCTATATATATCAATATTTTAGCTAATTTTCTTAATTCCATCAGGCTATTGTCTTCCCAGACCAATATTTTGATTGGTCTGAAATGCCAGTAAGGCGATGCGACCATTAATACTATTGGTCTGGAAAGCCAATTAGCCGATGGACTCAAATATGTATACGTATATGTTTGGAGACAGAACGGAGTTGTGATTAAGCATGCTTTTATATGCATTTGGATAGCCACGTGCTATCCTAACACTATCTATAGACAGTTTTTTATGTATACATATTAATTCCCTATGATAAATCCATTCAGCATAAACAGATCAGTCGATGCTCGTTTGAGCAGACCGCCGGATGGCTTGGCACAACCGCGCGTCGATGTGTCCGGGAAGGAGTCGAGGGTGAGAGACTTCGAGCTCGTGACGGCGCTGGTCAATTGGGGCGCACCTAAGCAGAAATTACATTGGTGGGGAGGAG